TGTCGAAATTTTCTCTGGACGCAGGTTTGAAGAGATGATTTGGATTAATTTGGATAATATAGATCGAAGAAATTACAATTGTGAAATAAAGTTGTCAAAATTTTCTCTCGATGCAAGTTTGAAGAAGAAATGACAGTGCGCGCCCTATTCGCGAATATTTGGATTAATTGGATAATATAGATCGAAGAAATCATAATTGTGAGATAAAGTTGTCAAAATTTTCTCTGGACGCAGGTTTGAAGAGATGATTTGGATTAATTTGGATAATATAGATCGAAAAAATTACAATTGTGAAATAAAGTTATCAAAATTTTCTCTCGATGCAAGTTTGAAAAAGAAATGAGTGCGCGCTCCATTCGCGAATATTTGGATTAATTGGATAATATTAATCGAAGGAGTTACAATTGTGAAATAAAATTGTGAAAACTTTCTCTCGACGCAGGTTTGAAGAGATGCGAAAATATTTGGATTAATTGGATAGAATAGATCGAAGGAATTTCAATTGTATGAAATAAAGTTGTCAAAATTATCTCTCGACGTTGATTTGAAAAGATGCGCGTTCAATTCGCGAATATTTGGATTAATTCGATAATATTAAGGAATTACAATTGTGAAATAAAGTTATCAAAATTTTCTCTCGAGATGGACGCTCGATTCGAGAACATTTGGATTAATTGGATAATATTAATGGAAGGAATTACAATTGTGAAATAAAGTCAATTGTCAAATTTTTCCATTTTCTCTCGATGCAGATTTGAAGAGATGCGAAAACATTTGGATTAATTGGATAATATAGATCTAAAGAGTTATAATTGTGAAATAAAGTTGTCAAATTTTTCCATTTTTTCTCGACAAAACACGTAGATTTGAAGAGATGCGAAAACATTTGGATTAATTGGATAATATAGATCGAAAGAATTACAATTGTGAAATAAAATTGTCGAAATTTTCTCTGGACGCAGGTTTGAAGAGATGATTTGGATTAAATGGATAATATAGATCAAAGAAATTACAATTGTGAAATAAAGTTACCAAATATTTCCATTTTGTCTCGACGCAAGAAGTCTGAAGAGATGCGAAAACATTTGGATTAATTGGATAATATAGATCGAAGAAATTATAGAAATTATAGAAATTATAGAAGAAATTACAATTGTGAAATAAAGTTGTCAAAATTTTCTCTGGACGCAGGTTTGAAGAGATGATTTGGATTAATCGGATAATATAGATCGAAGGAATTACAATTGTGAAATAAAATTGTCAAAATTTTCTCTCGACGTAAGTTTGAAGAGATGAATATTCTATTTGCGAATATTTCGATTAAATGGATAATATAGATCGAAGAAGTTATAATTGTGAAATAAAATTGTCGAAATTTTCTCTGGATACAGGTTTGAAGAGATGATTTGGATTAATCGGATAATGTAGATCGAAGGAATTACAATTGTGAAATAAAATTGTGAAAACTTTCTCTCGACGTAGGTTTGAAGAGACGCAGGTTTGAAGAGACGACGGTGCTCGAATTCGCGAACATTTCTACTCTTACACGGATCCTACGTACGTATATTCGGCGTGAGTCATGCGAGCAACGAAGCATGGAACCCCATAGGACGCCGGTTTAGATATCCCGGCTGTCGAAGCTTTCCTCTCGCAAACCCGATGGAAATCGATAGATTCCCCAAAGCGAAGGAAACCCTTCGTCGATATTTCTCTCTGAAAATCCGATGGAACCCGTACAAATGATCCACGCTCCGTTCGATGAACTTTCTACCAAATCCAATTCCAATCAATTTCCACAATGCATATTCGCGAACGGAACAATCGAATCGAGGCCCCTCCCCTCGATGAACCTATCATACCCATTCCACGTTCCAGATCCATCATCATCTGAGAAAGGAAAAGAAGCATCGGATAAATTACTCAGATTATATTAACATTCAGATAATAAAAAATTATAATATTCAGATAAAATTCAGATAAATATAGCGAGGAACACGATGTAAGAAAATGGCAAATCGATCGGGAAAACTCGCGACTGCATAAATAACACCCTTCCTATTGTCCTATTGTCGTTCAGAGGGGCGGATGTGACGGGGGTTTATCTTAAATGAGGATCACGCGGCTTAGAATGCAAAAAGAAAAGGAAAAAAGGAGAGAGAAAAAGCGAAGCCAACAAACTTGAATCGCGATCTTGGTCAGGGACGACGTGGGGCGAGGCACGAGAAAAAATCGTTGCTGCATTTTTCATGGGGGCAAGAACGGAGGGGGAGGAGGGAGAAAAGCCGCGAGTGAGAAGAACGAGCGTATAACTCGGCCACGGTCGAGGCAGAAGGGAGGGAAAAAAGGGAACCGGCTTATTCTCTTGCCTTCAAGATGGATGAAAATAAACACTGACACGGTTTTCCTCCTCCTCCTCCTCCTCCTCCTACTTTCTATTCCCGCGATAGATGGTTTTTCAAGTAAAAATTTCAAACGTGTCAGGGTCGTATAGATCGCTTTTTCTTTTCCTTCTCACCCCTTTCAATTCACCTCCATCATTTCAGGCTAAGCAAACTTACTCCGTTTTGTACAAGTTGATCCTTGAGCTAATCCTTGAGCACCACGGACGTTCTCTCTTTCCTTTCTTCCTCTTCCGTTGAGAAGAAATGTGAAAAAATTAGGCCAGCTTCGAGACTGGATTTATTCGTGATACGAGTGGTCTAATTAATTTCATTAGAGATAGGGATGAAATTAATAGTGGAATAAAAGTTGTATCGATCGTTGAAATACGGCTCGCCGAATATGGGAATGGAATCTCGAGATACAAGGGTTCGACATTAACACGAGTGGAGACGAGAGAGAATTTGTTTCGTGCAAGTTGGACCGTGCAACCACCGAAGGGGACGGCAAACTATAATGGAATAATTCGTCGGAGGTTTGCGGTGGAAGGTTGGTCGATACTTTTTCAATTTCGATTCTTGGAAATACACGTCTCGTACAGGGAAACGAATATATTTTTCTTGAGAAATTTTATCGCAGGGGGTCGAGAAAAAATCTTTTTGAGAAAGTTTTGGCAAAAATTTGACCGGTCCCTTTTACGTTTTTCTCGGATATTTATTATGGATTAAAAATTACCACGTTGAATTCAATTCTCGTTTTTCAAACTCGCAACAAGATGATTATTTATTGGATGAGCTGTAATCGGATACGGTTCTTAATTCGAGTTACATAAAATAGGGAAACTTGTCATCAAGCTTGAAAATCGTCTCCCTCGATCTCGGCGAATATCAAATTATCGAATTATCTTGCGTTTTAACGAAAATAATATTATTCGCGACTTGCGAAACGCGAAATTAAGAGAGATTTATATAAGGAAAATACAGGTGGACGGAGCCCTCAGTTCCTTAGTCTTGGTTCAAAGACTAACGTTTCATCTTTATTTGTGTATAAGTTTATCAAGAGTTTATTGATTGTTAAGAATTCAACTATGTACGTAAAATCGATATTTTTATTAATAACGATTATGACGTTTGTGGCATTAAAACCGGTGAAAAGTGTAAGTCCATTTGTTTTCTACGTCTTTCGAGAAATCGCGTTCGATTTTGCTTCGATGCATGCAAAGATATTTATTATTATCGGTGATTCTTTATCTCTAAAATTCCCTTTATCTTTCTTTCGTTCGTGTAAGATAAAAAAAAAAAAAAAAGCAGCAAGGAAAAAATTCAGTTTTTCGATTAACTGCAGATGAGTGCCGATCAGGTAGAAAAAATAGCTAAGAATATGCGAAAATCGTGCTTGCAAAAAATCACCACAACGGAAGGTGAGTAAAAATAATATCTTTGATCTAAACGAACCTATTCTATTCGCTTCTATTTGTTTCGGTATTTATTCGGGCACAGAGTTAATCGATGGGATGAGAAGGGGTGAGTTCCCCGATGATCGCGATCTTCAATGTTACACGACGTGCATCATGAAGTTATTACGAACTGTAAGTGAAAAATCGAAATAATTTATAAATTCGAAGATCTGTAAGATGGATCAATTTATATTCTCGATACATCATTCCCCAGTTTAAAAATGGAAACATCGACTTTGATATGATCGTAAAACAACTGGAAATCACGATGCCACCGGAAGAGGTAGCGATAGGAAAAGAAATCGTAGCGGTATGCCGTAACGAAGGTAAGGATAAATATTCAAATTCGAAATTTGTAGACAAGACACTTTAAGAAGCGTAAACTTCTCTCGAGTTTCTAAATGTTTTACAATTGTACGCAGAATATACCGGCGATGATTGCCAGAAAACGTATCAATACGTGCAATGCCACTACAAACAGAATCCGGAAAAGTTTTTCTTCCCGTGAATAATGGCACGACCAAGGAAAATCATTCCAGAAATCACATCGAATATTTCTAATATCTTAAACATTCATAAACTTGGACATTAGTTTAGATATTATATTCGTATAATTTTTCATATTTATCACTAGTATATATTGCATTATATATATATATTATAAATAACTAAATAAATAAACGTTGATGAAAATACGAAGGCAATTAACGTTTCCTTCCTTGCGTGGAAATTTTAATCCGAGATATTTGTTCGTATTCGTGACAACATAGAAATACGATCCAAGATAATAATACCGTGCACTTTCAAATCCCTAAATCGTTATTTACACACCTGTTCGGACAAAATAATTGCGAGAAAAGAAAAAAAGATGGGAGATAAGAATAGAAGATGCACGGCGGATATAATCAAAAGTGACGTAACACTTTGTATCGGCGATGTAATCCGAATTACATGGCGACGTTACTCCTCCCTTTCCGGCATTGCTTTAACCTCTCAAGATCGTGGACGGAAAGCGGAGGTAACACGTTAATTATTAACCAAGCTAATATTTGCCTCGAGACTCGAGCAACACCCACAAAATAATTCTTCCTTCTCCTACCGCCACGATAAGGACTATAAAACAGGGTGCGCGCAATCGTGCCACGTTCTATCCATGGGGGACAATCGCTACTCCATTTTGTCCGCGGCATTGCCAAGTTAGATACGTTTAAAAGAAAGAAACGGAATGAAGAGGCTCGGCGTCTCCCTGCTGGTTGCGTTGGTGCTCGTCCTATTAGCGATCGAGGATACCGTGAGCGTAAGTTGATCGATCGATTCTTCGTGTAATTGGCCTTCGAGCGTACGCGCATCGTGCACTTTTGGCTTTTCTTTTTTTTTTTTTTCTTGCATATACAGAAAAAGATGAGCATCGAGGAAGCGAAGAAAACTATCAAGAACCTGAGGAAAGTTTGCAGCAAGAAGAACGATACCCCCAAAGGTATTATACTTTTCTCGATGGATGTTTCGAAGGAACTAGAAATACGAACTGTTCCTTTGGATAGATGCGACGTTCAATCGTTGCGATTATCCAGTGTTTCGCACTCGCTTCTATGAAATTTCTTCGAGCAGTTGGTAGAGAAAAATGTTGCAAATTTATGATTCGTGGGTTCGTGACGTTCGCGACGGCGACTCTCGATAATTGGAAATTTGATCGAAATCGAATGCGCGATAGAATTCACTTTATTCAACGATCCGACGAATTTTTTTTTCTCGAAAATTTGATTCACGTTTGACGGTTTTTCGCTACAGAGCTTTTAGACGGCCAATTCAGAGGCGAATTCCCGCAGGACGAGAGGCTGATGTGCTACATGAAGTGCATCTTGATATCGACTAAAGCGGTAAACGAATCTTTTCAAATAAATCTTTTTCTCCGTCTTTCTCGAAAGGATTAATGAGAACGAGAAAAGTTTGTTCCTAGATGAAGAACGACGTTATTCTGTGGGATTTTTTCGTGAAGAATGCCCGTATGATATTATTCGAGGAATACATTCCACGCGTTGAGAGCGTAGTCGAAACGTGCAAGAAGGAAGGCAAGTGTTTGTTCATCGTGCCAATCGATAGAATAAAAGTTAATTATTCTTGCTCATTGTTGATTGATAATTTTGATTGATTTTTAGTGACATCTACGGAGGGATGCGAGGTTGCGTGGCAATTTAGCAAGTGCATCTATGAAAATGACAAGGAGGTGATTTTTAAATACTTTGAGTAGCAATTAAAGTCATTTTGCTCGTCTCCAAGTTTATTTAACCTTCGACAAAAATAATTTCTTTCAATTCATTTTAATCAGAATCGACGATTAATAATTTCAAGTATTTGCAATATTTGTTGCAGCTCTACTTACTTCCTTAGAACGATCTTTCAATATCGATCGAAGAAGCAAAAGAAATTTCTACACACCCGTACATCGGTTGTCATAAGGATCGAGAAACAGTTAGGATTGTGTGCAGAAATATTCGAATTCCAAACGACGTATGTAGAAGAGTCTAAGATTTTTGCGAAACTTAATCTTGAAATTTCCATTTGCAATGCATATCATTTTATCTAGAAGAAATTAATTCCGACAAATTATTTAAAATTAATTATTATTTCAAATTTCCTTCCTTCGATATTTTTATTACCTTGTAATACGTTATTATACTTGTTTATTACGCAACAATATCCAAGAATATTATTTCTACCCGCTAATTCGAAACTTGAAACGGAGAAGCTCATTATCCTATCCTAACAAAGACTACTCAACCACTAATTACGAATCGCGATTTACTTTGAAACTCGCGCAAACACAACGCGATAAATCGATCCGCAAAACTCGAACTTCGTCCCGCCACCGATCCACCTGCTCTCGATCCCGACGATCGTTCGTGAAATCACAGTCGTTCCCAGGCTTCGACGACCTTCCCTCTCTCTCTCTCTCTCCCCAAATCTCCCCTCTTCCTCTCCTGTCCCAAGTTGGAACAAGTTAGGATGATCGAGAGATATGTGCTCTTTCGAGAACGTGCTCGGGGAGTCGCTAATAAGCGCAACGCGTGCAAACTCGTCCAGGATTCCCGGCGCGATCGTTAAACTGCGAACACGTTGGCCAACGTTGGCGAGCACAGCACAGGGACGATCCCCCCCCCTCCTTCAACTCGAGGAGAAGAAGAGCAAACGCGACGCGACGCGACGCGATAGCTCGAATTAAAATGGTCCGCTGAAACTCATTCCCCGAATTAAACGGATTAGATCCAATCAGCACCAGAACGCTGTCGTCGCGCGACATGTTGTACCGTTTCGTTCGATTCCTCCGTTTAATTAAATCCAATCCGTAAAAAGAATAAGAATAAACCACGTCTCTGTAACGTGACGTATTGTATTTGAGTGCGTATTCGAGAATTGACATTGAGAATGGAAATAGCGGAATGGAAATTAATGGAGGAAATTGATGGTTCGAAAGTGGATAAGGAGCGATATGACAGAAATTTCGTTGGAGCGTTTCGTTCGATTCCTTCGTTTAATTAAATCCAATCCGTAAGAAGAATAAGGCGAAACCACGTAACGTATTATATTTAAGTGCGTATTCGAGAATTGATATTGAGAATGGAAATAGCGGGAGAATGGAAATTAATGGAGGAAATTGATGGTTAGTGAATAAGAAGGAGCGATACGACAGAAATTTCGTTGGAGCGTTTCGTTCGATTCCTCCGTTTAATTAAATCCAATCCGTAAGAAGAATAAGGCGAAACCACGTGACGTATTGTATTTGAGTGCGTATCAACGTTCGAGAATTGGCATTGAGAATGGAAATTGATGGTTCGTTTGAATAAGAAGGAGCGATACGAAATTTCGTTGGAGCGTTTCGTTCGAAGCCATCGCTAGCGAATCTATCCGGCAAAAAGCGAGCAAAGTAGAACAGAGTGATTCAGATCACCGCTCGAGATAGCCGGCAACAACGTCTTACAATATGTTCCGTCCAATGGTCTGTTATGCTTGCATAACGCACTTATACGCATGGATAGCTTCATATTTTATATATATATATATATATATACATATACGTATACCATACGTTCCCTATGAAAGAATTTGGAGAAGCCTCGAATAGGATCGGTGTCCCAGAGGAATCGGTTGTAGGGGACGACGCCATCGAGCGGCATTGTTCCGTTTACATTGTTCCGTAGTCGATTAATCAGCCATCCATCAAGTTGAAAATCAATGTCCCGAGGGTTGTCACGTGTCCGCCCATTATCTCCCTATTACCTCCTCCCTCGTCAGTTTCGCGATTTTTAGTATTATATTTTATTAATTTATATTTTAATAATTTTAATTAATTTATATTTTAATAATTTTACCACCGTCCTCGTTTCCATCTCTCAAGTTTTTCTTTTCTCTTCTCCGCAACAACCAGCACGAATTAAACTAGCGGGTTCCACCACCATTTATCGCAATAGACGTGGAACGCGTACACGCGTCCGGTTGCCTGCGTGTATGCCTCCTCCCGCGGCCGCAAAAGTTGGGTGGCGCTGCAAGAATTCGTTCAACAGGGATGGCGACGCGGACCGGAAGCGGATCGTTTATACGGCGTCTTGATCGAAAGGGGTCGAGGGGATCTACTCGCCGAGGGGACACATCGTTTCGTTTCGTTTTTAAAATGGAACAAGAGTCCAAGGGCGAAAGGAAAGGAAAACGAAAGTCCGTTCGTTATTTCTGTAAAAAAATTCTAACGAATGGAAATCGAAGCCAGCATCTTTCTTTCTCGCCGCGTTTTCGAACGAAGATTCGGAAGAACGAAGATTCGAAAGAACGAAGATTCGAAAGAACGAAGATTCGAAAGAACGAAGATTCGGAAGAATGAAGATTCGAAAGAACGAAGATTCGAAAGAACGAAAATTCGAAAGAACGAAAATTCAGAAGAACGAAAATTCGGAAGAACGAAGATTCGGAAAAACGAAAATTCGAAAGAACGAAAATTCGGAAGAACGAAGATTTGGAAGAACGAAGATTTGGAAGAACGAAGATTCGAAAGAACGAAAATTCGGAAGAATAAAGATTCGGAAGAACGAAGATTCGAAAAAACGAAGATTCGAAAGAACGAAAATTCGAAAGAACGAAAATTCAGAAGACCGAAAATTCGGAAGAACGAAGATTCGGAAAAATGCAGATTCGGAAGAACGAAGATTCGAAAGAACGAAAATTCGGAAGAACGAAGATTTGGAAGAACGAAGATTCGAAAGAACGAAGATTTGAAAGAACGAAGATTCGAAAAAACGAAGATTCGGAAGAACGAAGATTCGAAAGAACGAAGATTCG